GTTGCATGTCTACTTATCGACTATCTCTCTCACACCTCTCTTGAAATTTGGATACTTTGGGTGTCATCCTAAAGTCATAAAAGAGGTTAATTAAATGCAAAATCTTGCTTTCTTTTCTATTACAGAAAGACACCATTTTACAATGGAAGATTCGCCTTATTATGCCACTGGACGTCAAGGATTTTACTTCTAATTCACTATTGCAAACCATTAGAACAAGGTTAACAGTAGTCAGGTACGTAAGTGAGGCGAGAGAGGATACTTCGATAAGTAGACATGCAACTGAATTTATACCAGTTTGCTGAATTAATTAATCAGCCAGCTAGGCTCTAGCTTAGCACATTGCATTGGCACTTCTGATGGTTAATACAAAAGGCCTTGGTATTTTTCCTGTCTCTGCATCTGATGCTGGAAAAGTGCACAAACAGAGAGCGATTGAACAGATTGGTGCCTGATAACGAGCCTTTATAGTACATCAAGTGAGAACTTCTATACTCAAATTATCCTTCATTCATATCTACATAGAATGAGAATAGACAGAAAAATGAACAGTTTCATTGTTCATGGTACATCGGACGTTTATGAGCTTAAATGCATCCACGTTGTAAATTAAGGAAATGGAATAAACACAGGTTTGTGGAAAAACCCACTAATGTCAAAATAGCTCATTTACAGTGACCAGTGCAATCTCCAGTCTCTTTCAAATCTAGCGGCATTATCAATAAATCAATCGGTAAATTGTTGTCACCAGTGAGATCGGGTCCAGTTTTGTACAGTAGAACAGAGCCCAGTGAGACAGAGTCTGGAGATTAAACAATGGAATGAGGGCCAGAGACTGAACAGAAGAATAGGTTCAACGAAAATGAACATAAGAAATAGGACAGAAGTTAGCCACTTGATCCTGCTTCATTTTGGCAGAATGTCAATATCAATTTCACTTTCCCACCCCATGTTGAATTGCTTACCTTTGCTTTCATAAAATTATTTTCCAAAAATACAAAAGTAAAAACAAAATAACGTGGATGCTGGGAACCTGCAACAAAGAGTAACAGCTGGCGAAACTCTGGAGACAGAAACAGAGTTAATGTTTCGAGTCCGATATGATTCTTCTTCAGAACTGAAGCTCCATTATAGTCCCAAACTGTGTGCCTCTTCACATTTAAACTTTATAAGATGTTTGCATTTAAAATCAACAGGCTTAGTGCATATATAATGGAAACAACACACACCGACATCTCTTCATGTTTTACACATATAGTAATAAAGACATATATTATAGCTTTAATACTTAATATTCATAAATAAATTATAGATTCTATGTAAAAATAGAGATACTTAAAAACATGTCTGCAGCTTAAATGGCATAATCATTGGTCACAACCTTGAGAGTAGATAAGATTTCTTCATTCTGCACGACTCCACAATTTTCATGTGTTCAGCCACCAAATAATTAATGTGTCAATCGCTGTCACTTTGATCTCGGCACGATATTAGGATTTCAAGTTGTGCTTTTTGTACAAACGCCCAATTTGAGTTGTGTGAATTTGTACAACAAAGCAGAAGTCGGTGTGTGTGTGTGTGTGTGTGTGTGTGTGTGTGTGTGTGGTGTTGGGGGCGGCGCTGTTGTTTAAGGGAGGGCTGTGGGGGTGCCTGTGTGGGGGAAATAGGCTGATGCGCTATGCAGGCCAGCCAAGGGATGGGAGACTACAGGGTTGGGAAGGGGCCAGCAAGGTCAAGAAGATCCACCCTGGGTATTAATCAGGGCAAGACATTTGCAGTGCCTTGGTGGCATGACAACACTGTGCCAGCATGCTCAATGACAATGATGAGAAAGTACAAACCTATTTTGAAAAGGCCAATCACAAATTGCTGCCATCAAAATTATGGAGCAAGATGTCTGACCCACGAGCGCCTAGAGATGTAGAAATAAACATTCTTTACATACGGGACATTCAAGATGCAGGCTAAAGGAAGCTTATTTGAGTTTGGTATTTCCCCATTCTGAAAAAAACAATTTCTGCTAATTTTCTTCACTCCCACTTGAAGATGTTGTCAAATTCCCTAGGCAGAGCTCTACTGGTGCTTTCCACTAATTATGTCCAGTCGGCATTAATCATTGGATAAGCAGTGATTAGCTATTAGCCCAGCTGGGGCATTGAGGATACACCCAAACCCACTCCTCAACACTAGCTGGGTTCAACAGAGAGCAACAAGGCAAGTATAAGCTAGCTCTGGACACTGGCCTTGCACTGCGCCAAAGAGAAATACTTTCCCTGCTTTGTTTTAAATACATGGAAGGAAATTTAACCCATTAACTTTGTAAATCTTTAAAATAGTAATTAATACTTCTTTGCCCAAGTCTCAAAACAGAGAACTTCAAATGACAAGTTAAATGGCCCTATCTTCACAGGACACACAGGTCAGGAAAGCGCTTCAGTTCCTTGTTGCTTACTCATCTAGAAAGACTCTACAGTTCTTTCATCATGTCTTCCAATCACTTCTTCAATGATTCTTAGTTTTACTCCTCCAATGCCCTACCTGGAAATAGGACAATCTCCTGTTCCTGCCATCAATGTGACATTGATCTCCTTGAGTCAGACAAGTGAACTCAGTCTGCTCTGCAACTGAGAGTGCTCTCAATCCTGGTTGTCCAAAGACGCTTGAACACTGAGAAAGATTTCAACCCTGGGGAAGATCTATGCACAGCCTGCACAGGGAACTGACGCTTTGAGTCTCAAAGTCGTAGCTCAAAATGGAAATCTCCCTTTCAGCTTGTTACCCGTATTCAACAACAAATCTTATTTCTAACACTCCCACTTGAGTGACTTATCAGGAAAATGGAGCAATCTTAACCTTCAGAGGATAAACACTCAAATACTGTGATGTGTACTGAATGACTTGGAAGGAATGTTTTGCTCCTGACTAGCTTCAATATAGAATGCTCGACTCTACATTTGCAGTGTCCAGTAAAGTTAGCATAGACAAGGGGAGAAAGTCACACTTTCTTGAACAGCTTGCTTTTAAATACAGGCTGGAGTGAAGGGCTCCGTTGTTCACTCCCCACTGTGACTAGTTTCTGAGTATTCAATTCTGTTCCATAATTTTTTTTTGGTATGCATTAGGATGGATAAATTATGTTTTGTCAAAACTCGATCCATGCAAATAACACCAACCCCTGCAGGAAGGGCTGAAGCGGATGGTAGAGGGTGCAGTTTCTTAGACTCAACAGTGGCTGTGTCATTATCTTGGACTTTACCTAATAAAGGAAGGCATTGAATAAATGAACTCAAGATGCTGGAGAAATTCTCAATTGTGACGAACATTTTTTGAGCTCAGGTGAGTTGCACCAACTTGTAGCTGTACAACCCCAGGCACAATCAATGTTTTACTTCACAGCAGAAAGATCCCTTTGTTGCTTCTGTCATTTGGGACTGTACAAGAACCAAGGTCCTTCCCCTTCTTTCTGTGTGACGTCACAGTCGCGAGCAGGCCATTCATCCGTCACCTTGTGCTAGATTCCTGAGGGTTCTGCTCATCCCTCCTTTGTCCTTGTAACTTCTTCTCCAGGCGGTCCAATTTACTGAGGTTCTCCCGCAGAATCTTGCTATTTGGCACCAGTTCCAGGGCTTTCTCGTAGTACTCACGAGCTGCTTTGTAATCACCCTGTGAGATCAAGGCATCAAGGTGGACATTAAATAAAGGCATGGATTAAAAATAGAGAGTAATTCCACCCACCTACCCTATCCCTATCACCCTGCATTTCCCACTGCTGATACAACTCACCTTTACATCCCTGGATACTACAGGGCAATTTAGCATGGCCTATCCACCTAACCTGCACACTTTTGGACTGTGGGAGGAAATTGGAACACAGGGGGAGAATGTGGAAACTCCACACACACAGTTGCCTGAGGGTGGAATCGAACATGTGTCCCTGGCACAGTGAGGCAGCAGTGCTAACCACTGCGCCACCACAATATATCCAGTCGCTACACACAATTAGAGATTTTACTCAGACACATAACCAGCAAATAGACCTGATGGAAGCCCAGATAGAAAAGCCTGTGCTCTCACATGTTTAACTTACTGCACACAACAGTACAGTAGTTCAACAGCGCTGTCTGAAATTCTCCTCGAATACAATCTCACCCAAAGAGGCTGCAGGTGTTGAATGTACCAGACCTGGTGCTGGAGAGGCATTCTCCTGCATTTAGACTGAAGCAGATTACTAGCCAAAACACCTGTAATTTCACTCAACGTGTGCCCATACCGTACCCCATTTCCTCTCACTCATATATGTATTCATACTCATTTTCTTTTTCTCTCTCACACACATTCACTCAGCCATCAAGAACATAAGAATAAAGACATAAACTTTGCCACTCTATCCTTTCATGACTGACCTTGGGTTTCAACTTCGCGAGGGGACCAAAAATCTGTTGATCCTCTTATAATATTCAACAATGGAGCATCCACCACCTTTTGGGGTACAG